CACAGCCACCGATTAGTATGCAAATAAAACTTCACCAGCTTTTCATTCTCTCCCATGACTAAGACTTTTTTGTAGAGTTATTTCCTCAAATTCACTATTCCTCTTCCCCTCAGACCAGAACCAAGGGTTCACTTACGCTCGCTTAGTGTTGCTGTTGATCTGCTGTTTTTTAAACTGTTGAAGAATCACTGTGTATCTGAGCTTCCCACTACAGGCAGTAAGTTAACTGATGAGGGGTGACAAGCCAGTAACAGTCACACCTGAAAAGAGCAGCTCTTGAATGAAGAGCCATGAAACTTTACAGCCTGGTTACCTCCCACTTGCAGGGAGAGCTCAAAAAGCAGTTTCAGAAGCCTCTTGTGTTACTCTGCGGCGTTTGATTCATTTTTCAGAGCCCTATCTGTAACTCCCTTCCTCATCTTCACAAAACAGATGCCCACCCTGATACCTTTGTATTTTTGAGCCTGGTTGGTTGGCTCAGCAGAACCACAACCCTTCTCCAGACTGGACCCCAGGGTTTTGTTTTCTATAATATCAAGTGGCAAAACACGGTTGAGAGCTGACAAGCAACAGGGCACGGAGAGAAACTGAGATAAAGTCACCCTAAAGTTACATCCAAAGCCAACGTGTCGGTTTTACCTCACATTTCTAGAGCAACAGCTCTGCTCCCCCTCCCGGGGCGTGCTCCAATCACTTCCCTATTTTTCAAATGTATTTTTTGACCAACATAACACATGCAAAGAGAAACTAAATTCAGAAGTTCTTTACCAAACATGCAAAATAGGGTAAAATATCATGTTGCTTCTTCTAGCACCATAGTAACTTGCACTCTCTTTAGGAGATTTAAATAAAGCTAAACTCTGCAGGAAGTAAGTCCACGTTCAGCTGGGAATTGGTGTTAATTTTGGGGATAGAAAAAGCTCACCATTAAGTGATAGCTCCTAGAAAGCAGCTTGTTCTATTCAAGACTTGAAGTAATCACCCCCTCACCCTATGCAGGTCAAATTTAGGCTCATAACTTTTTAGGGAGCTTAATACAGTAAATTATCTCAATGGATAGGGTGAGTTCTGAAGATGATGAAAAGCTGACAGGAGTTTAAAGAATATTTAGCCTCATATCTTTAGCACAGAATAGGAAAAGACTTTTGAAAATTTAACCAAGACAGAAACCTGTTCTGGTGTTCCAATAAAACACCCACCACTTATCTGAAAAAAAATACACGGAACTAATAAAGATGATCAAAAAAATAAAGAAAAAGCAGAACAGCTTATTTTTTACTCATCACAATTGGAGAGGGAAGAGAAGCCAAGGGAATGAACTAACTGCTCCAGTGCTACTACAGATGTTTATCTAGAATGCTTACTTGTAGCATCTAATCAGCTGAACTCCCATCTGTTATGTCTCACTCTCCTACCACTCATTAAGAAAAACAAACAAAAACCAGTTAACAGCGGAGCTAATCTTAAATAGAAAGTTAAGAGGGGGGAAAAAGCACCTGGAAGCCTGACTTTCAGGAGCTGATCACAAGCCCTTCAGCTCGACTTCTAACTAAAGTTCTCAAAAAGTCCTAAAAGCCTTTATCACATGTGTGTTCTGTGGGGTTTTTTTTTTTTTTTGAAGAACGAGAGAAAACCCCCGTGACACTCATTTTAGTCAGTGGAGAGATAAGAACGTTGATAGTATCCTCCAAAAGCCCTGGGAGAGTAACTGCATCACGTAAAGCAATTTCACAACGCAACGCGGCGCGTCTCCTCGTGGGGTGTAAAGAGTCAGAAACCAGCAAGGAAACAAGGTCGTAACAGTAAAACTGAAAGAGCAGAAACGGTAACTTTAAGGCAGTTATGTTAAAAAAAAAAAGGGGGGGGGGCGAGCTGGACACCAACTCCTCAAAAAGTCGCTAAAACCTTTATAACCGAACTCACTGCAATTTCATGGCACTCAGTACTTTCTGGCTGGAGAAATGCAGGTATAAAATAGCATATTAAGGGAAGAAGGCTGGCAAGCATCAAGAAAGCAACCAGTGGAGACAGGGATGCCAAATTCGCTTTCGCTAGCGAGCAGCGGGAAGCCCCCGGGCTCTTCCTGCCCCTCAGCGGGTTCTCTTACTCACCGGCCGGGCCTGAGGACTCAAGTAGGGTTCAAAGTCATCATCGTTTAACCCATCCTTCTGGTGCACAGATCCGTTTTGCACTGGGGAAGAGATTTAAGGCGTTAGGAAGAACCCTGCTGGCAAACTCCAGCGTCCACCAACTTAAAAAAAAAGTATTTAAAGACGGGCCTTGTGACACAACTGTTGCTTGCTGGCTTGGAATAAGCCACGCTTCACCCCAGGGAGAGCTGAAAGCTGCTTCGCCACCCCACAAACACTCTCTTTAATGCAAACTCTCCTCAACCCCGGCAGGACTAAGGGCTCCAGAGCCCAGGGCTTGTTTTTTTCCTCCACCCCACCCGGCAGCGTGAGGCCGGGCCCACCCGGGCCATCCCTCCCCATCCCCCTCCCAAAGCCCCCACTTCCCCGCGGGATCCCCTCCCCTCCCCACCCCTCC